CTTAATAGAGATCTTTGCAAATATTTATTTCAACCTGGTTTGTGAATTTAGAACAGAAAAGGTATTAGATACTGGTTAAAATTTGGTTAAAATACATGAAAAGAAAAAGAAAAAAAGGATTTGTAAGCAAAATCAAAACTACAATGAACTCTGAACATTTTAGTAGTTTCCCCTGGTTAATACTTTGAGGGTTTTAGACCAACTTAAAAGTCCATTAATTATGTGGTGAAGAAAAGATCAACACTTATTTGTAATCTCTATTCTTAGATGTTTAACCTTTATTTTGATGCAGGATTGCTGATATTGTTACAATTATGTTTAATTGGATAGATAGGAATACATTTATCTAAAGTGACAAAACTATTTAGAAAGTGATAAAATAAGCTACGTTGAAACGTCAGTGATTACTATCATGAAACAAATCCTAATGTTCCTTTAACATTCTCTGTTTTAGGGTTGCTGTCATTTCTCATATCCCAGCAGGAAGGACTTTAACCATAACATTTACCAGACTTGTGGAAGGCCGTTATGTGACTGTTGTGCTTCCAGGTGCTTCCAGAATGCTCACTCTCTGTGAGGTGGAGGTTTATGGATACCGTGCTCCAACTGGTGAGGCCTATGCTGTTACTGGGTTTTACATATTCACTATAAAGCACTTAAATTACATTATATACTTCATATTACTTTATTAGGCTTAGTGATGTTCAAAATGCAGTGAGATGCTTTTGTCATGCTAAGAGTGAGTGTAAAGCAAGAAAATAGCTCATAAACATTTAGATTGTAAATGAATTTCTCATTGGTATGAAAAACAGACATAAAACATCAAACTGTGTTTTTAAATGTGGTTGGAACCTAGAAAGACATTCTAAGGCTCAATTAGAGCTGGAGATATAACATTGTGTCATGCCAGATGAAGCTTATACATAACATTTTCTTCAAATCCTGTTAAAATTAATTACACATGACATACGAAAACAACACATACATGTGTGGGATGCTATGTAATATAAAAGTTCAGGACTGATAAAAAACAAACTTTGGCAGACAAGGTAAGGAACTGCTTCAATTCTGGATCCTAACATTTAAAAAACAGGTTAACAGAGGAAAACTATGAGAATTAACATTTATTTTATTTTATCGTTTTTTTTGTTTGCTTTTTTTCTTTTTTTGCATAAGGGAATGTGGCAATTTATGGGAAAGCCACACAGTCAACGGTTTATCCTGGAGCCATCGCCTACTACGCTATTGATGGGAACCGTGCAGCACTGTGGAGCCAGAGTTCCTGCAGTGCCACAAATAATGACTTTAACCCCTGGTGGAGACTGGACCTGGGCAGCACCCATAGAGTGTTCAGGATCAACATAACCAATCGGGTAGAACTTCCCACTCGAATTAATGGAGCTGAAATTCGTATTGGAGATTCACTTGATAACAATGGAAATAACAATCCCAGGTAGTTTACAGTCCTCTTTTAAAATAAATAAAATATTACAGGATAATATGTTTTCTACTGATTCACTTTGTGCCATTTTTTGTTCAAGTAAACACTGAAAAGAAAATGTTTTTTTTTTTCCTTTTACAGGTGTGCTGTGATCTCAACCATCGCTCCAGGTTCTACTGAAACCTATCAGTGCAACGGCATGGATGGTCGATACATCAACGTTTTCATACCTGGAAGAAATGAGTATCTCACCCTGTGTGAGGTGGAAGTGTACGCATCCCAACTGGATTGAACTAAAGAGTCTAGGCATTACATGACAGGGATGTCATTTCATTTATAGGAGTCTCCACAATATAAATTATGAAGTTGTCATACTTAATTATAGTCAAATCTTAGAAAATTGTGACCACAAGATGGCAGAAAATCCTCACAATGAATTAAGTGTCAAAGCTCTCCTTCAGACATTTATTCACATCACAAATGATGAGCTTTCAAGTGTTTTATAACTGTTTACAATATTAGATTAATTTGCATCTCATGCTGAAGCTTGTGTTTAAAAATGAAAAAAATAAATGGCTTTTTACTTAAAGCATTTAGAGAATATACTTTCTTTTTTATTATGCTGCCTGGAGTCTTACAAGATTGTTTGACTTGATAATCTGTAGTTTGAGATAAGTTATCATGAATGATATCTGCCCTCATATTTTCAAGTGAAATAATTTTAAGTTATTAAAATCAACAACCATTGACCACTGAGTTGGTTAGTGCTTTTGATTTCTCCTTTTCCCCAAATGTATTCACTGTTCATAATTTATTTACTATACAATTATTTGCAAAGACAGCTACATCAGTCTCAGCTGCCATCTTTAATTCTCCCCAGACGTAAATAAAGTCTGGCTGCTCATGGAATTTATCCCATCAGATTATTGCCTGTGTCTGCAAGGGATTTTGGTTTCAAATTGGGATTAAGTGTAGTTTTTTCTGATCTTTAGAAACTTTAAGAATTTTTGCAAAACAATTAAATAAAACCAGGCCAAACAAGTTACTTCATTAAGTTTTAATTTGGAAAAAAAAAAAAAATAAAAATACAGGAAGCATCTTAAGTTAGCTAGTTATGTATCTACAAGACAAATAATTGGCAAAAACTTTGTTTAAAACCATTTATCAATATCCAAACCTACTGACTGTGTCATACCTTACAATGATGCAGTAGTTCTTAAATCATTACAAATAACACATCTTTATACAGGAATTAATATAAATTCTAAAGTTTTCTAAGACACTGTGAAGGTGTTTTGAAACAATACCAAAACTGGAGCTGGACTTATTCCCACACAAAAACAGAAAAAATATTAAAAATGCATGCATGTCTGTAGCAAAACATTCAACTAAAAATTCCTAGCAGGAAAATTAAACTCAAAGGTCATCTCATCAACCCTGTCCCCAAAATCCAATATGGCTGCTGACAGTTTGAAACACTGCAGTAGCAATAGTTGACAGTTGGTTAACCTGAAGGAAGTTCAACAATGTCTGGTGTTGGTCTAGATCCATCAAACTTCAGAGATGCCAGCATTCATTTTCTCCAGAGGTTCTTGAAATACTCTTCAGTTCCCTCTGAGTATTGCTTTGAAGTAAAACTAATGTACATGAAGGACTTACATTTTTGGTTGTTAGAGCTTACTGGACGCATATTATTGCTAATTTATTTCATATTTTCCATGTTAGTGCTTAATCCTGTTGTAATTGTGTTATTTTTTATGGACCAGTCCATTATGAAGTTGACAGAAAATAATCTTAGTCTTAATGGTGCACATGTTAATGTGTATGTCTTCTACACAGGAGGCTCTAAATCAAATGACAGATGAAATTCTCAGGATGAAAGCAGGACATATTGATAGATGATATGCTTGGATTTCTGAATTTGCTAAAAAAAATAAGAGGCATGCAAAGATTAAAAGATCTAATAGCTCACAAAGTTATTGAAGATAATCATTATATTATTAGCGACTAAATGGAGCATTCCTATTGAAAAGTTTTTTTCTTCGTTACCACCCTGGTTGGTGCTTCTACATCATCGAGTCAGAATCTTAGCAGTCCTGCTGTATTCCTCTCATGGGTTGTCTTCCTCTGTCTCCTTGATGAAAACTCTTCCATCTGAGTGTTTTTTCCACTTAAGATTGTTGACACCACTTACATTTCCACCCAGCCTTTGCTTCATCTGGAATAAAGAAAAGTTCATTTTTTTTCAATAAAGTTTATATTGACTGAAACAAAGTGTACCTGCATTGATGCATGAATATCTGGAAGATTTACTTGCTCCAAGATGCTGTTTTGCACTGCAGGGTCATTCAGATCCAAACTTGAGTCCTGCAGGCTGATCCTCAGTTTTATGAACTGCAGTTTGGTTTGTACTAAAATAAATAAAAAAAATCCAAATTATTTGCTTTGCACTGCTTCCTTATTTTGCACATTTTACAATAGGTTTGTATTGGTTAAAAATGTTTACTTACTGCATTTGCAGAGGAAAGGATGAACTTCTGTACAGTTCCCGTCTCCCCATTTTCCAGATTCAGTCTTCAGCATTGCAACACAATTTTGATGATATTCTGTATTTACCAGTTGGGATTCCCTCCAGTACCTTAGTGAGGAGTCAGTCAGGTGTGACCAGTCGTACGGGTCTCTGAAGAGACCAACAAATACTGCTGTCCCATTGGCTACTTCCTGGACTGCCGTGTATTCTGCGTCATTCCTCAGGCTGACCAGGTCTGTGAATTTTTTTCTGCAGAAATCTCGAGCGGCGGTCCATTTCATTAAATTTGGATTGAAGATGTACTGAGCTGCTCCTTGTTTTGTTCCTGAAATGAGAAATTTTACAATGTTTTATATTTATTACAACAAAAACAATAGGTGAGATGATATCCAATGCGGTGGCTGTGCTGATAGAAAAATGTCAAATTTGCAGAAATAAACAGTTTTTTTATGGTTTGCATCACATTAAGCCAGTGAATCAGAAGATACTGTACAACATCTGTAGGAAAACATGTTTTTCTCACTCTAGAAGTGAAATGAAAACAGTCTTATCTGCAAGTAGAATCCGAAGTTTTTGGAACTAAATCAAGCAATGACACTTCTAGCCTTTGGGATAATAAGCATATCATTGTAAACTTAAACATTTTTTCTCAATTCAAAATGTAATTGTGCCCAAAATTTCAAAAATATCAACTCCCAGATGATGACATTCATAATAGGCTCAATAAACAGAATTAATGGAAGTTGTTCCTTTAAAAAAGTTTCTAAACAGCTTTATCTAACAATAACCATAATACTCTTTTATTCTCAGGATGATTAGTTTGTTTAAAAGATCCACATTCAGATCTTGAATATTAACCAGGTGTCCTGACCTTTGGTTAATATTTTACTGTTATCAGTAATGACCTATTTTATTTAGGAGGGATGTGTTTTATTATGTCTGCCTAAAGTTTAACTAAACCATGACCTGTTTAAAAAAGGATGGCAAAATAAATAACTGAATCCAGTGACAGCTGGACTTTGTGAGCTGAAGCTTACTGATAATTGTAGGAGTTGAATTCTCTGAGATGTGATTGGACAACAACT